TGGACTCTGTCCTTTCCCTACTCAAAAACCATCCAAGGCTCCCCAGAACCCCTGGGTAAAGAAAAAAACAGTCTCAGGATGGCCACTGCTAATCCCAGCCTCCTCTTTTTCTTTGGCCACACCTGGTCCTCCAGCCTTTGGCCCCTTTAGCAAACCGTTCCCCTTTCCTGGGGCTCCCTTCCTTTCTCTCCTAGCCCAGTTCCTACTCAGACCCCTCCAGGAAGCCATCTGGCAGTGGCAGGATTGGCCCAGCCTCCCCCCACCCCCACCCCCGGGCTCTGGAGGCCACCTGCGTCACCTCCATTACCGCGCAGACGGGCTGGCCGGGTGCCCAGGGGAAGGGCTGTGGCCGGAGGTGGTCCCAGATGTGCATTTCACGCTGATTCGTCTCGGGCGCTGGGAACAAAGTTTGGGTCATAAGGAACATATGGGACTGGCCCTGAGACACACTTTCATCTCTGGGTGGGAGGTGGTGGCCGGGACGCTCCGGGCCAGGCGGTTCCCACAGCCCCTGGACCTCCGCAGGCCTCTCCGTGTGCCCCTGACTCCCACTGCCCGGGAGCCGACAGAGTCCTCCCCATCTGCACTCTCGCCTCCTGGGGCTCCTCTTCCAGAGAGGTGGCCTCTGTGCGTTTCACTAATAACTGCGCCTATGTGGGTCTCACTCTGTGCCAGGTACTGTCTGTTTGTATTGTGGTACTGGGGATTGAATCCAAGGCCTTTACACCGAGCTACATCCCCAGCCCTTTTCATGTTTTAATTTTCGAGACAGTCTCTAAGTTACATAGGCTGGGTTTCAACTTGCCACCCTCCTGCCTCAGCCTCCCAGAGTGCTGGGATTACAGGTGTGGACCGCCACTCATTTCTTCCTCCAATTGCGCCTTGGAGATTATTTCTTATTATCATCTTCCTCCCCGTTTTACAGATGTGAATGCTGAGGGTCAGTGGGCAGCAGAGGTAAGATTCGAACCAGGCAGTCTGGCTCCAAAGCCACCTTTTCCTGAGCAGGTAGCATTGTCCAGTAGGACTTTCTGTGGTGCAGGGACTGTTATATCTCTGCATTGTCCCATGTGCCAGAAACCAGCAACTTGAAATGTGGCTAATGTGACTTGAATTTGTAATTTTATTTTACTTTCACTAGCAATTATGTTTTTTTTTTTTTTTTTTTTTTTTTTGAGACACGATCTCACTATGCAGTCCAGGCTGGCCTTGAACTCATTATGTAGCCCAGGCTGGCCTTGAATTCAAGTTGACCCTCCTGCCTCAGCCTCTTGAGTGGTGGGATTGATTTAAACTTACATGGCCTGCCTAGTGTGGCGCATGGCTGCTCTACTGGACAGTGCAGGTCTGGAAAGCTAAATCTGAACGCAGGCGACCTAGAGTGCGGCCATCGCTAAGTCTCCATCCTGTCAGGGTCTCAGCGTCTTTAAGGAAGAGGTAAGTTACAGTTTCTGGCCAAATCCAAGCAGGCCTGGGTTGCAGCCCCCAGCCTGACATCTCAAGGAGGAGCACCAGGTACCTGTCTCTTCTTTGCATTATGGGGATAAAACAGGACCTGCTGATTATTCCATACCTATTTATCGAGTACCTGTCAAGTCCCAGGGGCTGAGGTTATAGCAACAAACAGCACAGATGCAGATCTGAGGTCAAGGCAGTGGAGGTGGAATAGAAGCCTCGTTTCCTGTCCTTCCAAGATGACCTTCTCTTAAACAAACAAACAAACAAATGCTGAAAGGCTGCTCTACCTAGCAACTCATGACATCACAGCATACTCTGGGTTTTCACTGGTTGAAAGCCTGGTATAAAAGAGGGCAGCTCTTTCTTCCAAACATCTTTTCTCTTAGTAACAAACTCCCTAGATGTGCACATTCTGACAAGTGAGATGAAAACAGAAAGATTGCTTGGCAGCTTTGGGGGGAAAAATTGTGTAAGTCAGCTATGTGGGCCTTTAACTTTTTCTCTTCGCTTACCTTTATGCTGCTGAGTGGATGCAGATGCCATGACTGGAGCATTAGCTATCACTTTGGAACATGAGGACAAGGACTGTTCCAAGGATTATGGAGAGGAAATTGGAAACACCTCTGGACTAGCTACAGTGCGCGTGTGTGAGTGTGTGTGTGTATGTGTGTGTGTGTGTGTGTGTTACTGAGGATTGAACCCAAGACCTTCACACCCAGCTACATCCCCAGCTCTTTTTTATTTTTATTGTTGGAGACAGGGTCTTGCTAAGTCATTAAGGTGCCTAGGCTAGGGCTGGGCATGTAGCTCAGTGGCACTGCACCTGCCTGGCAAGCACAAGGTCCAGAGTTCGATTCCTGGTCCCTCCCCCCGCCAAAAAAAAAGTTGCCTAGGCTAGGCTCAAATTTGTGATCCTCCTGCCTTAGCCTCCCTGGGATTACAGGCATGCGCGTCCACTGCAAGCCAGATTTCTTTTATTTAAGACATATAATTTCTATCTTATTTAGACCACTGTTATTTGGGGATTGCTATGAACATTAATGACACAGATCAAATGAGACACCACCTCAGATTTGGTTGGGCTAAAATTAGACCTCTCACTGATTTATTCTTTCAACAAATATCACCGAGTATCTACTGTGGGTCAGGTACCTTTCTAAGTGCAGGGGATGTGTCTGTGTTCAAAACAAACTCCCTGCTCCCATTCACTCGTGTTCCAGTGGAACAAAGAAATAGCAGATAAATAGACAAACAGTTAATATACAAGGCGGCACCAAGTATTAAGAAAAAAAAATAAGCCGGGCGTGGTGGCACACGCCTGTGACCCCAGCACTCGGGAGGCTGAGGCAGGAGGATCACTGTGAGTTTGAGACCAGCCTGGGGTACATAGTGAGTTCCAGGTCAGTCTCAACTACATAGTGAGACCCTGTCTCAGAAAAAAAAAAAAAAATCAAGAGGAAAAATAAAGGGCTGCAGATGCAGTTCAGTGCAAAGATCCCACATCTAATCTCCAGTACTGCAAAAACAACCAGATCAAACAGAGAATCTTTCCCATGTGTGATCAGAAAGAGCGGGAGGAGGCAAGGGAATTTCAAGTGTGAAAAGGACTCAACCTACTACCGAGTCGGGGATTTAGCTCAGCAGTACCGCTGCCTGCCTCGCAAACGCAAGGTCCCAAGTTTGATCCCCATACCAAAACCAAAACAACAACAACAACAAAACCTGCCATTACAGGAAGAGGTGTGGCAAGTAGCTGGGAATAGGAAGGAAACAGACTGTCCCCAAGAGGATCCAGAAGGAACACAGTCTTGTTAGCTCCTGACCGTAGTCCCAGGTGGGACTTCTGATCTGTAGAACTACAAGCTGATAAATTTGAGTTGTCTCAGCTGCTGGGCTTATGATAATTTGTTATGGAAGCAACAGGAAGCAAATCCTCCCATCTGGGAATGAAGGAGAATCCCTCACCCCTCCCTGCACAGTTCTGAAATCACATCGCCAAATCCTGACCGATGAGCTGGGAGTGGAAGAGAGTTACTCCTGGGCCGGCACATTTATTGTTTGTGTGGGACCATTCAGTGCTTCCTCTCTCCCTGTCACAGTGATGGAGGATGCCATGGGTTGCAGTTGATGCTACAAGATGGTGTCAGTCTCTCAACTGGGGTCCTTGAGTGATGGTACAACCCCTTATCAGCTTGTATGGCATATATACATGAACCAGAAATAAGTTTTCATAGTGCCAAGCCACCAAAACTAGCCTAACCTGACTAACAGAAGGCCTCAGTGAGGTATGGAAGCTGGCTTGATGTTCTATGAGGGACTATGTCCCAAGAGGAGAGAAAAAGTAAGTGCAAAGGCCCTGGAGCCAAGTGTGCTTGGTTTCTAAAGGAACAGGAAGGTGGCCAATATGGCTGCAGTTATGTGAATGAAGGAGTGTTGTAGGAGGTGAAGTCAGTGATGTGGGGGTAGATCATGTAGGGCCTTGGCAATCTCCTAAACACTGCCTCAGAAATGTCTCCATCCTGGGCCCAGCTGGAGGCCAAAATCAAGATTCCCCTGATAGAAGATTCCTTTTTTTTTTTTTTTTTTTTTTTTTTTTGTAGCTGGGGTAGAACTCAGGACTTTGTGCTTGGAGGCAGGTGGCGGTACCATTGAGCTAAATCCCTGGCCTCCAGATAAAGGATTTTATTGGTGGCTTGGGGGTCAATTACCACCGCAGAGATATTTCCTGCCTTTTTCAGTGACACCAGGAGCAAACTCAGGTTCACTTGAGGGCACCTTTCTGCCTAGCACCCTGTGACATCACAGGCCAACCTGTCTTCCTATGGGCTGAGAGGCTACTTTTCTCTCGAGGAAGGAAAGGGTTGCTTTCCAGGTCCTGGTGGGCCTCAAGATCTCTTCCTCTAAGACACCCTTAAAGCACTCCCTCACAGTGACTCTGCAGAAAAGACCGCCCAAATTTGAAGTTGCAGTTCGTTGTGAGTGTGGGGGTAGAGGTCAGAGGGGCACGGGGGTAAGCCAGGACAACTTTCCACTTCATAGCACTTCCTGTGTTTGGCCCGTTTAGTGGGAATTCCATTCTGCTTAGCATCAAGCGATGCCATAGCTTCCGTGGCTCCCAATGGGCTATTCTCTCAGGAAAAGGTCTCGATTACACTGCAGGCCAACGGAATCTGTCAGAATGTTCTTCAGGTATCACTCAAAGTCCCTTTATTCGTTTCCCAGAGACTATCCTAAAGCTTTTCAGAATGAAATGTTCTTTCACTTAGAACTTTCTGGAAATCTGGAGCTACTCGTTTCCTTCATAGATGTTCCCGCCTTTTCTAGCTATGCCCCGCCCACCGTCTCTTGGCCAATCATCACGCGACAGAAATCTGAGCGGCACCTAGTGACACCGTAGACGTTCTATCGGATTGGTCACTTTGTCTCAGGGCACTCTGGGCAGATTTGTTTGAGGCCTTCTTCATTTGCTCTTAGAGACTTTGCAAGCATGAATCAAGAGTCAGTAGACAAAATTCCCCAATATTTAATTTTATTGTGGGCAAGAACTGCTTGGGTCACAGGCCAACGAGGTGCTGCCGAGACTCCAAAGTCCCACTTATAGTTTGCCGTCTTTTGCTAACAGTTGCTCGCAGCAACGACGGCGCATGCGTAGTGATGTTGGAGCGCCACGGCTTCTGATTGGCTCTTGAGGCGAGGTAGAGGGTTGGTTCCGCCCGTCGCTTCTGAGTTCCTTCAGCGGCCTTTGAGGCCGCTCCAGCCTTGATAAGTATCTAGCTTGGGGCTCGGTGTAGAGGGTTTCAGGACCCTGCAGCCTCCGTCGCGCTCCTCCTGCTGCAGCCTCCGCAGTGGTCGGGCCCAGCGCGGCCTCCAGGGCAACGCGAGGCCATGGCGGTCGAG